CGCAAGGGCTTACACGGTAGAGAAAATTCGAAAACCACGAGTCGATGTGGCCTGGTTAAAAATACAAGCACTGAAGGAGTCCCTGAAGTGCTTCTCTCTGGGACACCCGTCAGAGAAGCTATGAATGAATGATGAATGAATGAATGAATGAATGAATGTGACCGATGACACGAGTGACTACACTTACGCGGTTCCATTTCGTGGCCCAAACGGAGCCTGTCTTCGCTGCTGGCCGCAGAGAACATCATAGCACTCTTTGATCTCGTCTCTCAAGTCCTGGGGGACAGAGCAGGAGCCGTTTCTGACCTTGAGCTGCCGCACACGGGGCACCCCAGCAAAGGTTCTCGTAGAAGATGAAACTGCGTTGTCGGCTTCCGTCTGGTTCTCGGCCGCATATTCCAGTACAGTCCGTCCAGCAGGGCGCCTTCCGTGAACTGAAAGCAATGGAAAGATTTTTTTTTTTGCAAGTTCCCAGCTCAGCCGCTGTCTTGCTCCTGCCTGGAATGTTCCAGTGACCAAGAGCTTGGCAACTCTGCAGCAAAGAGGGTAAGGCAAGACAAGTGGGTTTTGCTGTCAGAGGGATTTGGGTTTGGATTTTGCTCCACTCTTGCTAGCTTCGAGGCCTTGGGGGTGGGAGTCTCTGAGCAGTTCTTGCATCTGCAAAACCCATCTTTGGGCAATGCTCATTGCACCTGGCACAGAGTGGGGACTGATAAATAGCCAACTCATTTTGGTTCTGGGACTAAAGGTGGGGTTGGTGGTTGCATAAATCCAAGACCATGATCAACTCCACTTTCTCTCTCTTTTTTTTTTTTGAGACAACAGTCTCACTTTTGTTGCCCAGGCCAGAGTGCCGTGGCGTCAGCCTCGCTCACAGCAACCTCCAACTCCTGGGCTCAAGCGATCCTCCTGCCTCAGCCTCCCCAGTAGCTGGGACTACAGGCATGCGCCACCATGCCCGGCTACCCTTTCCCTTATTAAAACAGCATAGCATCCCACATAAAAATCATGGCTCTAAACATGTTTAGAGAAAAGGTGTTGATTACCAGCCTGCCATCTAGTGGATTTTTTATTCATCTGGGCTATTTTGCTGTACGATGAACTCTCCAACCTCTCTCTACCCCTTAGGGCTTGGCATTTATGATCACGGAATGTGTGCGTGTGACAAGTCTCTGTTTGCACAGCCAGCTCTAGGGGAGGCAGATCTAGATATTTCTCAGTGTGCTGGCCTTATCAGACGATCAATAGAGATCGACTGATTTGGCCCATCAACGTGGTAAAAGATTGACACACGTGTGTGGCATTGGATGCCAGCTACTTTTACGCATGAATAGGTTTCCACGACTCAGTTTTCTCTGTCCCTCAAACCAACAGCTCTGACTCCAGGGTTTAGTAAGAATTCTTAGAAAGCAACTCCCCGGGGAGAAATAATCACTTCCTTTCCAATTTCCCTTCCAATTTTCTTAAGTACCAATTTTCTTAAGTATTCCAAGTACCCTATCTTTCAGATCAGTTGAATATTTTTCCTTTCAGTGACAATCCTGGTAAAATTAAAAAAAAAGAAAAAAATATTTTTCCAATGCTAATCCCCCATGGCTGATGCCCTGTTACTATGTTGGAATTGGTGACAATTTGGAAATCTCTGGGTTGAATTTCACAAAAGCAGACCTTTGAAAGGATGTGCCTACTTTGTATCCGGCGCTGTTCTTGGAGCTGGGGGCACATGCCATCATTAGCAAAGGGACAAGACACAAAAAGCGGAGGAAGACAGAACAGCCAAACTTCCCTCGTGGGCTTTACGTTCTCGAAGGTTCTCAACAAATATGGAATCATGAGCGAATGAATGAATGATAAGCTAGGATGAAGAAGTGATTGCCACGCTAGAAAAAAAGGTCCATTTTTTTTTTTTTTTTTTGAGACAGAGCCTCACTTTGTTGCCCAGGCTAGAGTGCTGTGGCATCAGCCTCGCTCACAGGAACCTCAGACTCCTGGGCTCAAGCGATCCTCCTACCTCAGCCTCCCGAGTAGCTGGGACTACAGGCATGCGCCACCATGCCGGGCTAGTTTTTTTCTATATATATTAGTTGGCCAATTAATTTCTTTCTATTTATAGTAGAGACGGGTCTCGCTCTTGCTCAGGCTGGTTTCAAACTCCTGACCTCGAGCGATCCTCCCGCTCGCCTCCCAGAGTGCTAGGATGACAGGCGTGAGCCACCGCGCCTGGCCAAAAGGTCCATTTTTCTTATTTTCTAGCCATGTGACCACAAGCATTTAAGCACCCTGATTTCACTGTCCTCATTAGCAAATTATTAGCATATTACTGGTACTTACCTTGGAGGTTGCTATGGGGATTAAATAAGGTACAAACACTGAGCACGGTGTCAGGCACATGCAAGCATTCCATAAATGTCACTTTACCCC